CAAAATCTAATTAGACAAAGATATATTTAAATAAAATAAAATAATTTATATAAAACTCAACCACAAATTACCTATTTTATTTTCAATAAAACTCTATCATATTAAACAAGGATATATTTTAAGAGTTTTTATAAAATTTTAACACAAATTACCTATTTATCTATTTATTATGAGTTTTTTAAGAAAAAAAAATGTAATTAGACAAGAATTATTAATATAAAAAAAATTATTAATTGATATAAAAATAATTTTTAAAAGAGTTTTTATAAAACTCTAACACAAATTACTTATTTATCTATTTATTATGAGTTTTTAATAAAATGAAATCTTATTAGATAAGAATTATTAATATAAAAAATATTTGTTAATTGATATAAAAAATTAAATAATTTTTCTAAAACTCTATCACAAATTACTTTTTATTATGAGTTTTTTTAACAAAAGGAAATTTAATTAGATAATAATTATTAATATAAAAAATATTTATTAATTAATTTAAAAAGAGTTTCTACAAAATCTAACACGTATGACTTATTTATCTATTTATTATGAGTTGTTTTAATAAATGAAAATCTAATTAGACAAGAATATATTTAAAGAAAGTAAAATAATTTCTATAAATTGAACACAAATTAGCTATTTTATTCTCTATAAAACTATATCACATTAATTTATTTATTATAAGTTTTTTAATAAAATAAAATCTAATTAGACAATAATATAAAATCAATAACAATAAAATATTTATTAATTGACATAAAAAGAATAGTTATTTTGTATAAATAATTATCACAATATAACCGGCCCGGCCCATTTAGTATTATAGTATTTATTTATTTTTATAAAAAAATATTTATTAATTGATATAAAAATATTTTTCTATAGAACACTAAAAATTACCTAATAAAATCAATCCGAATAAAATATTTATTAATTAATATAAAAAGAATAGTTATTTTTTATGGATAATTATTACAATATAACCAGCGAGCCGCAGTTATGATTATGTCATTATCAGGAGAGGACACATGTCATCATCCTATTAATTTAAGAAACTCTGCCAAAGAGTTTTCAGTATTTATTTATCTATATAAAAAATATTTATTAATTGATATAAAAAGAGTTTTTATTTATATTATTATTTAATGTGTGCAAAAAGTTTCAGTGTTTCAATATTTATTTATTTATATAAATAATATTTATTAATGGATATGAAAAGAGAGTTTTTTTAAATAAAAAAAAACTCTATAAAACTCTAAAATCTACCTAATAAAATTCAAATTAACTTATTTATCGATTTATTATTATGAATTTTTTAATAAAAGAAAATCTAATTGGACAAGAATTATTAATATAAAAACTATTTATTAATTGATATATAAAATAAAATAATTTTTTGAAAACTCTACCACAAATTAGTTTTTATTATGAGTTTCTTAATAAAATGAAATCTAATTAGATAAGGATATGTTTAAAAAAAAAAATTTAAATTATTTTCTTAAAAACTTTATCACAAATTGCCTATATTATTTTCAATAAAACTCTATCACAGTAAAAAAGGATATATTTGAATAGTTTCTAAAACTCTAACACAAAATAGTTTCTAAAACTCTAACACAAATTATCTGTTTATTTATTTATTATGATTTTTTTAATAAAAGAAAATCTAATTAGACTAGTATTATTAATATAAAATTTATTTATTAATTGAAATAAAAAATGTTTTAAACAAGTTTCAATAAAACTCTAATACAAATTACCTATTTATCTATTTATTTTGAGTTTTTTAAAAAAAGAAAATATAATTAAATAAAAAATTTCAATCTAAAAATATTTATTAATTGATATAAAAAGAGTTTTTAAAAGAGTTTCTATTAAACTCTAACACAAATTACCTTTTATTTATTTATTATGAGTTTTTTAATAAAAGAAAATCTAATTAGACAAAAATTATTAATATAAAAAATATTTTTTAATTCATATAAAAAATTTAGTAATTTTTCTAAAACTCTACCACAAATTACTTTTTATTATGAGTGTTTTTTAATGAAAGATAATCTAATTAGACAAGAATTATTAATTCGCATAAAAATTGTTTTTAAAAGATTTTCTATAAAACTCTAACGCAGATTACCTATTTATCTATTTGTTATAAGTTTTTTTTCATTAAAGAAAATATATTAAACAAGAATATATTTAAAGAAAATAAAAAATTTCTATAAAATCTACCACTAATTAGTTGTTTTATTTTCTATAAAACTCAGTCACATTATCTATTTATTATGAATTTTTTTAATAAAATAAAATCTAATTAGACAAGAATTATTAATATAAAAAATATTTATTAATTTAATTTAGTAATTTACAAAACTCAAACTCTACCACCAATTTCAAAATTCAGTATTTGTATTAATATAAAACCTAAAAGAATTTATTACTTTGCAAAACTCAAACTCTAGCACCATTTTCAAATTATCTAAAACTCACCTCGACTACGTAAAATAAATACACACATAACACACTAACAAACAAATATATATCGTTGTATATGCGGGGATCTATAAATAAAATATATATTTGTGAGCGTATATATCTATATATATACTATCATTAAAAGTGTAAAGAATTTTAGTATTTATTTATTAATATAAAAAAATATTTATTAATTGATATGAAATGAATTAGAATAAAAGAGTTTCTATAAATAAAATGAATTAAAATAAAAGAGTTTCAAATCATTATTAAAACAACCAAAAAATAGGTGAAATAGGTAATTATTTTATAAAATAATTTACCAAATAATAAAATAAATTACAAAACATTCATCACGTGTATCGCACATGTCTTTTACTAGTATATATATATATATATATATAACTTGACTCATATAGTTTCATTAGAACCAGGGAGTCAGTGTTTGCACAGGGGCACGTGCCCCCTGGCCTTTCCCTACTTACTATAATATATATACTAAATTTATATATTTTTACATGTGTATATGAAAAAATTCATATAATGCTCCCCTAAAATTTTTATTTTCTAAAATTATCTCTTTAATTTTATGTTTCTTTTCTTTTTTATTCTTTAAATTTTTTTAATTTCCTTTAAAAAAGTCAAATTTTCCTTTTTGAATCAAACTCCTTTCTTAAATTACTCATTAATTGACATATTATTTTAAGAAATTTTTATTCTTTGTCTCCTAATTTATAAAATCTATATTTATTGTCTTTTTAGTCTATGCCCCCTGAATTTAATTTCTAACTCCGCCCCTGATTTAAACATTTAGTGAAAAATACAATTATTATACAATTATTTGGAATCACGTACATGTAATAGAAATTATTGAGTGCTTGAGAGTTAATTAAACTATCATATACTGGTACCTATATATATATATATGTATATATATACCTATATATGTATGTATATATATATAATGAATCAAGTAGTTTTCTCTTGGGTTTTAATTTGGCCCAATTTATAAGGTTTCAATGCAACAAAAAAGATTTTATCAAACACAAAAGAGACAAGGGGTGAAGAGAGAATCTTTCAATTGAGCGTGAATAATAAGAGAAAGACACACCTTGGAGTTGTTGTTGATGAAGATAAAGTTTAGATTGGGGTCATGTTAGGTGAATAAGAAAAGTGTTGTGGTCACGTTTGGTGAATAACAAAAATTTCTATTTTTGTGGCCTTTTAGAAACAAGAAACAATAAATAAAAACATTACCAAACGACCATAAGAACTAGTTAAACATGTTTTTAGAGGTTTTATTTATTTTTTTAAAAATCGTGCTTGTTTTGGTCTCTTTTTTTAAAGCGCTTCATTACTATTCAAATGACATCAAACATTATCAAACATGCTATGGCAACAAGCATTACCAAACATTCTTTGTACTTTTGCTTCGCTGCAGGATATGGGCAAAAGCACGAAGCAAAAATACTTACCATACGGCAAACCGGACCTAAACTTTTCTTCTAAACAAATGTACTTGAAATATTAGACGTTAAATGGCTGCTCGGCTAATGCTTTTGTTTCGTGTCTTTTGCTTTTGCTAGTGTACTACGCTTCCGACGAAAACATAAAAATGATGTTTTTGTTTGCTTCTGCACTAATAAATAAAAAATTCTAAAATGACTTTTGTAACTAGCTATTCAATTTTTCAAACGTACAACACTTTTTATCAAATATACTTTCATATTTTTGCTTCAAGCAATATTGGTAGTACACAACTGTATAAAGTGGGGTTTGTGATTTTTGTCCTAATAAAAATAGTAAATTGCATGAAAACTCCCTCTACTTTTCATTTTTAGTAAGAATTACTAAAACCCTTTTGAAGAAAAAAATTTGACATAAAACCCCATAATTTTTCATTATGTTGCAAGGGAATATTATAATGACAAAATGCCCTTTAATATAAATTTTGAGAAAATGGTGCCCCTTAATATATAAAAAATAAATAAATAAATAAATTCATTGGCATAGTGTTGTTAAAAATTATGAAATTGAAAATACCTTGGACCTTTTTAAAATTTTCTTAACTTTTTTTTTATAAATTTAAAAAGAAAATAAAAGCTAAAATGAAAATTATTTAAAGGAAAACCTATTTTTTTTTTTAAATTATCTTGAGAGGCATTTTTGTCATTATAATATCACTTTAATGATATGTAATTTTTAAACTTTCTTAACGTTCTATTTTTAAAAGATTAAAAAAATCTAAAATTTAAAATAATTATTTTTCTTAAATTTATATTAAGGGATATTTTTGTCATTATCAATTGGTAACAAATTAGATAGTTAGTTAGTTAGTTAGTTAGTTAGTTGGGTTTTATGCAGATTTTTATTTATTTATTTATTTATTTATTTGCTAAAAATAAAAAATAAAGGAAAGTTTTATGCAATTTGTCCAATAAAAAAAATTGATGGATTAGAAATGAATCCGGTACTGTAGTACATAACAATCACGTGCTGAATGAAAAAGTAAATAATATTGAGGATTTGAACAACTCCCACCATCAGGTCCCCACTGTCACTATTCTGTGCTTTCCTCCGCATTGTTTCAGAATCTCTCTCTACATTCGATTTTCACCTAGGGTTTGGTGGCCTCCCAAAATTAAGGTATTCATGTACTCTATCTATTTCTCTCATTTCTATTGTCTATCATATTCTCCATTTTGTATATGGTGTTTTTCTCTTGGTTGACAATTGTTTGAATCTTCTGGGCTTATCTGTCGTTCCAATCGAGAGGCGGGACGGTGTTTTTTGTCACTTAATCTTAATGTTTCTTGTCGATCGAACATGTATATTTTTTCTTCTGTATTGTTAATTTGTTGGATATGTTTGCATGAATTGTTGGTGGTCTGATCTGTCTATAATTTAAATTCTCAATTGTTTAGTTAATTAAAGATGTTAATTTTGTTGGGTTCATGGGATTTTGATTACATGGGATGTACCCTTGTGGGTTTTCAGTTTTTGCAGTTTCATTAACATGGTTCTCCGATCTAATTAATTATGCTGGTGATTCTAAATGGATTAGTAATGAGTTAATTAAGTTTCTTCACTGAGAAAATTTTAAGATACATGGGTTTTTCTGAGAGAGCCACGCTATGCCATTCTGGTTAGGTTCCAAGGTTATGAGCTTGTTTAACATTAAATTGAGTTAGTATTTGGATGGGATAATTTTGAGTTCAATCAATAGAGCAATGTATCTTATTTACATATGTGGATTAGTTAAACTAATGATTGTGGACCGGGCCATTTTATGTAGAAAGTCACAACACGTGGATCCCATTAGGGTAAATTTTAACCAAGAGCGTCAAAGTCTTGTTATTCAGTTAAGATCCTCCACTTCTCTGGACCGCACTGCAGTTAATGAACAAGTGAGACTAGGAAACAAAGTTTGGTTTAAATCCTAGATATTACATTTGGTTTGGTGTAAAATTAATTTTTGTTAAACCTAATAGCTGAAAAACACGACTGCCATTTAATTGATTGTGTGGAACATGGTGTTATTTTTTTGGCAGGAAAGTAATTGTTCTTACCTCTTTTGTTCTCCAAAATATTATGGATTTTGTGTCAGGTGTTTTCTTACAAAATGGTTGCTTAAATAACGTCGGTGTTTACGTCACCAATCACGGCGGTATGCCATATGGAGAAGGTAGTTAAAGGAGTCTCTCCATAAATCATATTGGCATAATTTTGTTCCATCAAAATGGAGGATGAGAATGGGCTTGAGCTTAGTTTGGGTCTATCTTGTGGTGGATCATCTGCCAAATCAAAAGGCAAAACTGTTAGCTCCACAGATACTAGGACTGATGGAGGCGATGAAGGCAACAAAGTGGTGGATGATTTCAAGAGTTTTCTTCACGGTGGCACCCAGAAACAGGACTCTGGTACTGGGTCTCAGAGAAATGATCCAGTAAAACCGGAGGACAACTTCGTTCATAACCTTTCCAAAGCTGTGGTTGATGTGGATGGTTATGCAAGCTTGAATGGTAGAGGGCTTTGGGTTGCAAACAGTAAGAGATCTGCTGAAGTTGAAGAAGAGAATAGGCCAGAGACTGGTAACAAACCTAAAAATTTGTTTGATGAGATAAGCCATCAAAAAAAGCGTGGCAGAGAAGTTCATCATGGTCAGTTACACGACAAGCCTATAACGTCGCACATTTCCATAACCACAGATGATGGCTCAGCTGCTGATAATGAAGATGTGGCAGACTCTGAAGTCGAGGGCTCAACCTCAAGACTAATTTCACACCATGATGATAGCTCCAAAAGACACACTGGGAATGGTGTCTCATCTGAGGTCACAAAAGAGGTTCACGTGGTTACTGGTTCAAGCCTTGTTGAATTACAAGGGCAAAAGAGGTATAAGGTTTCATCAGAAAAGGAATTTAAACTTGGGAACATGCCCTCTGGTGCTACATACCCAGCACAATCTGTAAACATCATGAATTTTCCTTACTCGATACCTTTGAAGGATTCTAACTCTGTTGGTGCACCCAACACATCAGGCTTTCAATTATCTGGCATGACGCAAATGATGGCTGCTGCAAATAGTGATCGACCAGGGACCCAGCCTGTGATACCTGGAAACTTACCATTGATGTTTAGCTATTCTCCTGGTCACCATCCGGCATTGGATAAGGATAATTCCTGGGGTTTGGTTTCTCATCCCCAACAAGTTCACCCATCCTTTTCTGGCAGAATTCCACCAAACTCAGGTAAACAAAATGATGGGCTAAAGATATGCCAACGTTTTCTCGTCTTTCTTTTATAATCTTTTGTTGAGCTTTAACATGGCTAGAATATATAAAAGATGGAGATATTTTGGTTGATTTCCCATACAATTCTATTATCCTTCGACTCAGCTCCACACTGAGATTCTCATTGATACAGTTTAATTGTTAGATTGTTGGTTGATTTGACAATTCACTTTATTTCCTTCTGATGATTATAACCTGGCAAGGATGTAAAATTGGTCTGTATAATAAATCTTGTTAAGTTCTAGGAAACTGGGTTATACTTCAGATGTAGACATTATGCGTTTTGGGAACAGATTCAAGATTTCACTGTGAAAAAAAAAAAATTCAATATTGGAGATTGTTGTGTATGAGACACAGTTATTTGATTTCCATAATTGACCTCTTGAATAGTTTTTAGTTGTTTACCTTATTGGGTATTTTGTACTGTTACTTGGGAAAAAAAAAAATTAGTTGTTATACCAATTTCTGACTGCTGATCTTATTTTTGCCATATACCATTATGATTTTTCTCCACTGTATTTATGTTGCTGATATGATTTTAAATGAGATTTGTTTACTTAATTCTTACCTTATGGATGTAGCTGCCATGCCAGTGGTTGTGCACAAGTTATCTGAAACTTACGATGGAAGGACATTAGAACAGGCTAAAATTGATGGGAAACAGCATGCCACTGAAGAAGGTTCCTCTTCTCAAAAACAAAATATTATGAATGGCAACAGCATGATCTTCAGGGCCAAAGATCCTTCTGACCAACCATCTGAATTTCCAGCTATAAGGCCAGGTATTGCCGCAGACCTCAAATTTGGGGGATGTGGTTCCCACCCGAATCTACCATGGGTTTCCACAACGGGTCCTGGCCCAAATGGTAGGACAATTTCTGGTGTAACTATCAGATACAGCGCAACCCAAATTAAGATTGTTTGTGCTTGCCATGGGTCTCACATGTCCCCTGAAGAGTTTGTTCAGCACGCTGGTGAAGCACAAACAAATCCAGATAATGGCACCGGTTTGGTGTCATTTCCAAGCAGCAATCCTTCTGCCTCAACTCAAAGCTAATGCATTAGTTTTATGAACCAGGCTAATAAATATTAACATCTGATGTGATGAAGAAGTCCTTCTTATGGTTTTGTATACCACATGTTGGGTTTCTCCTCGAATGTCTCACTCAACAGGATTAGATGTTTAATTTCCCTTCTGTCAGTTCCCTTTCCTGCTGCAATTGAAAAAGCAGTTGTATGTAATAACCTTACAGCAATCATTCCTTTGTCAATTATATATATTAAGCTTCATATCTTTTCAATAGTAGCTCTCTAAGACATGTCTCTCCTTTATTATTTTTATTTTATACAGTATAGAGCTACTTTCAAACTCCGTCATTGTAAGAAGGTGGTTAAATGGAAATATGAATTTGTGCGTGGTGGGTAAGAATTAATGCAGCCGCAAGGATGATTACTAGTCATTTTCGATAGATCCCTGCATTTTTACATGGTGTCCAATGTGAATGATGTACTTAAAAGGCATATTGTAATTTTCAATTCTGCGTTTTCAGTGTTCATCTGTTCTTATATTTGATCTTGATGATGTGTAATGGTATTTTTGTGCATAACATATCATTGTGTTTTGAATGTTAAAGGGGTTTGATGAGAACTAATAAAGTATGCTTTACCCAGATTTTGTATTACAGCAACAAAAGTGTTAGAATTAAATCTTAGCATCCTTGGACGTAACAAATTTCACATAGACCGGGCGACAGCGGTGAGATTTTGTAGACAGCAAGAATGTACTGCTTGTTATGCTTGTATTCTAAATTAATTAGAGGAATTTCCCTTCTGTCCATTATCCTCCATGTGCAAGCTTAGGAAAAACTATTAGTGTTTGTGTTTATTCCTTACAACTTGGTTTTGCCAGACGAGTATGAGTATGAACACATTAATGCTTCAGACACAAGTTGGACCATAGTTTACTGTTCCTTTTTAAGAATAACTCAGTAGATAATTATCCACTAAAAAAATCAGATTTTTATCTCCGGGGTTTTGAGTATAATTATTACCTGATTTTTAATTTCATTTTCGGATAATGTCAATTGACAAGATTGTTCGACAGGTAATTATTAGATTAGAATGCACAATTTGACTTTCTTTCTATTTTAAGAGGCTTGTGATGTAACTGATATTAACTCTTAATTACTATCCATAATCTTCCCAATATATATATATATATATATATATATATATATATATATATTATATGAGATTTTATACTGCTTAGAACAAGTCAATTTATCTCATGTTTCAACTTCTTCTAATTTAGTAGTAGTTAAAATGTTTATATAATTTTATTCCTTTTTTATACCAAAACCCTCTGTATTGCCTACCAAATTAGAAGTTAAATATGTATACAAAATTATAAGCCTCACCACCTGTCTATCACTGTTGAACATCAAATTTAAAAACTTCCCACTACAAAATTAAAATAATTTCTCAAATTGGGAACACACAAGAACTACCTATGCAGAAACCAGGGGGAGGCTTATTAAAAGAGTCATACATAACAAACCTCATCTCAAGTTAGCCTTTATAAACTTTAAGAGCCTCCTTCTGCACACATAATACACATTTTCCGGCAGCCCGCTCACCGGAGAGAATTTAGAATCCCCGGACAATTTTCTGAACTCCAATCCTGCCATGGATCAATTGGGTATGTTCATTTTTTCCATCTTCTTTATGTTCTTCCAAGTTGAAGCACAATCCGAAGATTCCCCTGATTCCCAAGATGCTGTATCCAATTTTCAACCAAGCCTTGCTGTTGTGATTGGTATCCTTGCCATCATGTTTTCAATTACATTCACACTCCTCGTCTATGCAAAGTTGTGTCACAGGGCATCATATGTTCATACACAAAATCAAGGCGGACTTGTTCGATCAAGGTCTCAATTGTCTGGAATCGATAAAGCTGTGATTGAGTCACTTCCTTTCTTTAGATTCTCTTCCCTTAGAGGGTCAAGGGAAGGACTTGAATGTGCAGTCTGTCTTTCAAAGTTTGAAGATTTTGAAATTCTTCGGTTACTGCCCAAATGCAAACACGCATTTCACATTGATTGTGTTGATCAGTGGCTAGAGAAACACTCGAGCTGTCCTCTGTGCAGGCGAAAGGTCAGTGCTGACGACCTTACATTCTTGACATATTCGAGTAGTTTGAGGTACTTGTGGGACCAGTCTTCGCTGCGCGAGGACTCAAATTTGGAGCTTTTTGTGGAGAGAGAGGAAGATCATCATCGCGGTTCTTCAAGATTTAGCATTGGAAGCAGTTTTAGGAGATTCGAAAAGGGTAAGAAAGAGGAAGAATTGCTGATCCAAGAAAATTGTGATACTAGTGATGACAGCAACCAAAAGGCCCTGCACAAGTTGAATCACAAGATCATATTGTCTGATGTTGTCCTGAAGAACAGATGGAGCAGTGTGAGTTCTTCTGATCTCATGTTCTTGAATTCGGAGATGCTTAATGCTATGTCAAGCAATAGATTCTCTTCTTTGGACTCGAACAATGATCAGCAATTACCAACCGCGAGAGTGATTGAAGATGGTCATGTTATGAAGATTAAGGAAGAGATGGAGAGGAAGAGAGTGTTTGAAAGCAAGGTGAGTATGATCAACCAGAGTGATTCATTGTCATTTTTAGGAGGACTTCCTAATACTTCAGAGTCCAATTATATCAATCCAAGTCAACCATCAAGAATTGTAAATCCCAATCAGAAAAGGTCGATGTCGGAGATAACAGTTCATCCAAGATTCACTGAATCCACCATGAGAAATGGTGTTAGAGAGCCTTCTTCTCTGTCTGAAAATAATGTCAAGGAGGAAAGATTGAGGAGGCTTTGGTTGCCGATTGCACGAAGAACAGTTCAATGGTTTGCTAATAGAGAAAAAAGGAATCAACAGTCTCAAAACACAGGACAGTTGTCTATGAATGTATAAACCATCTATGCAGAATTTGAAGCTAGCTTCTGATCAGAATACTCATCACATTCACAGCAATAGCAGTAGCCTATAAATTCATGGAAAACTTAGGTTTTTTAATTACCCTGAAGAGCAGCATAATATATACTTTTCATTTATTGATTTCATGATTTCACTGTTGATAACATGTTTCTCAGTTGATCATGTTTTCTTTATTTAAATACTAGTAGATCTATAAGAAGCATTAAATCTGTTTCATACATAAATCCTCACATTTCATTCATTTTTTTTCCCCTTAATTCTTGTCTGTTACATTGAAGATTTAGTTCCTTAATAAGAATGCATACCTTTATGGTCATACCAATTTTTTTTTTTTTTTTAATCCTCAAACAACCACTATATATATATATATATATATAAGACATAATGAACAATGGGACTTGAAAAAGAGAAGCTGTCTGCCAGCAACCCTGGTTCCACGAATCAAGCAAGTTATTTCCTTAGGGATTCTCCAAGTTGGAGACCCAATGAATCAAGTTGTGAGAATCTCTTTTCATTAATAAAATATTTATATATATATATATATAGATAATGCAACTTCTTAGGCTCAATGTACTTCAAGAAACATTATCTTCATAAGCATGTTTAGGATGTTCTTTTCTGTAAGTTTGTAGTTTTGACTCTTGATAGTGGGGCCAACATATTGTCATTTGAATTGTTGGTATTTCTCATACTTTTGACTTCTATATTATATATATAATATATAATATTTTCATACTATTCTGTAAAACAATGTATATCTTTTAATTTTCCTCAATTACAAAGGATGTATGATTCCAAATTACTTCCAATATATTCTTTGTATTGAGGTCTAGTCAACAAATGTTGTATATAATTATAATATATACACCTATTGTTGTACTACATATAAATATGTTCATAATTAATCCTCCTATGTCATGATCAATTTAATTATTTTCATGTTTTCCAGAGTTGCTGTTGCGTTACTTATATAATTCTTCGACCATGGCCTTTGACGTAAGAGATGATTCATCTTTTTTGTCCTCACTCAAGGGATCCATCAATGGTCCTTTCAGGTATCGTGTTCAGCGTTTTTAAATGCTTCTCTCTAATCGTGTTTTTTAATCTACTACCATTACCAAATAATTGATTTCGTGTAAACTGTAACCTTAATAAGATAATAAGCCCTCTCTCTCTCTCTGTCTCTCTCTCTCTCTCTATATATATATATATGCATGTGTACATTTCAGTATATCATAAGCAAATACTGGACTATGCTTTCGTGTATAACTTTTTTTTCTTTTAAAAGAAATCCCTAAATGTAAACTGTAAAAATATTAAAATAAGTCTATAACGAGCTTTTCCTTTTCTTTTATGTGGTTGGAATTGTCACGTTAAATTAACATATTTTGAGTATGAAAAATCGCATATACAACATTCATAGATTATTTTAGCAGACTGTACAAATTATAAAAAAATATCAAAATATCTTAAAATAAAGTGACACGAGCAAATCAAAAGTAAAGATCCAATTTGATCATCAAAAGGGAAATAATGTAGAAGTTTAAATGAAACGTTTAATATACTATAAAAAATTTCATTACTTATTCCTGATCAAAAGTATATATATAAAAAAATAAAAATAAAAAATAAATAAAGAGAATTCATAAATACTATAAAGTCTGTGGGTTGAAGTTCGGATGTGCGAATTTTTTATATATAAATAATTGCTATACGGTGCACCTTATTATAACTTTACTGCAAATTTGAATGAGATCGCCAACACCATTTTGGACATATCAAAAAGTACATAGTAGGTTAAACTTCCCCATTCTTTTTTACTTGAAAAAATAAATTTTTCATGAGTACTGAATCTCAACTGTGAGTTTAAATCCCCTCCACTGTACAAGTTTGCAACTTAAATTTCATTAATGTCACGAGGCTGGTATAAGTGGTATAAGTGGGGGTCCTCCTATTAAAAGACCTTTTTTTAAAATAAATAAATACAAAAGAGAGAGAGAAATATGGATTTATATTTAATTTTGCTATGACATAATACTAAGAAAGAAATTTCTGTATATATAATTACGATTTTATGAAAGGGAGAATAATGAGAGCTTAAAGTGCTCCCACATTCACATTTGAAATAGAATTTCTGTTGCACATATCAAGTAGCCCTACCTACAAATTGTTGAATGACAAGAGTGTAGAAATATATATAAATATATATATATATATATATATATATCATGATGGTACCCTAATTGTAAACTCGCATGTGCCTTCACAGCATTCTCAATTTGACAATTGAGGTGAGACAAGCTCATTGCCTTCTCTTTATGAGACTAGAAGGGTTCCTCTATTATTTTGAGTTTAGCATAATAAATAATACGGAGTAAATAAATATATATATATATATATATATATATAAACAATCTTTGGTGACGAGTTTGGGTTCTTTTTAATGCAAGAGGACATAGATGCATGTTCCCCATTAAGTTTCATCACATCATCGTACAAAACGTCTTACATCATAAGCTCCAAAAGGTACTACCTCATTACGAAAGAAATTGATTGTTGTAAAATGGATGTGACTATATACAAAGTTCAATTAAGCCCACTTGCAATCTAGAAACTATGAACTGAATAAGAAGACAGAGAACAGTTTCATCAAAAAAAAAAAGGCTGATTAATGGGTTTTGACATTCACAGGTTGTTGGACCAAAAACTTTTGAGTAAAGAACACAAGAATTGATGTCATTGCAACCCATCACCTGTGCGATATGTGCGTGTGTGCGTAAACATATATATAAAACAGAAGAAACAATTGTTAGCCGTCTGATTATCTCTAGGTACCTTTCTGTTTTATTCACAATTTATAATCATAGAATTACTTCTCAAAGGTGTATATACACCAAGGGCTAAGGCAAGCAAACGTCATTATCCTTATAAATGCAAGCGTAGTCCAACCACATCAGTGGGTACAAGTTCTCCTAACAACTCACCCTATGGACAAGAAAATGAAGGAATTGGGATGATGATGATGTACATTCTTAGTCTTATAAATACATATATAAATAAATATAACATAAGGATATTTCATGCATTTCAATCCCAACTACTGAACGTTATTTATTTATTTAATGATCAATGTCCAAACTAACAAATAAATGCTGTATATCTATGACATCAACAATACAACAAAATACAGTAACCAAATCAATTTGGTCACCATCAACAACCATTACATATGATTGATAAAGAACCAGAATTTCATTTTTAGAAGGAAAAAAAAAAAAAAAGAGGCATAGCTCATTCATTTACAAAAATACATATTTACAGGAGTGGGTGAGAACAAAAAATATTTTTTAAAAAAGAAATTCTATTCACAGCCTCTCTGTTGAGCTTCCTACGCGGCCAAGTACGTGAAAGCTTTTAAAGGAAAAATTTCTTCTCCACGGCTATCAAATAAAAATCAGGTCCCAGAAGGGGCTTGTCTTTCTCCATTGAATTTGTAAGCTCATAACTTCAAATGCACCATGAATCAATCATGCTAGGGGAGAAAGAACTCCACTCCAAAAAGGTTTATGAATCAAAAATCCATCTTAGGGACGTATTATTTTACCAGTCTTCAAGCCATTCTGGAGTATTGAGTTCTTCTAAGTCACGTGGTGGGGAAAGTAGAGTAGCAGTGAGGTCGTCGGAATGATTTTCCAAATGTTGAGTTATACGAGAAATTATCTCATGAGGAACAGGAAAGCTACCATCCGCGATCCTTTTCCAATCAATGCCATGAAACCATGGATGACTTTTCACAGAGTCAGCACCTTGGCTTCCAAGTCTTGTGCTTTCATCAACTTCAAGAAACTGAATGAATTCATTTGTCAAATAATAAAATAAACTCTTAAGGAAAGATATAATGAATGAAGGGATGAACTAAAAGTTCTAGTTGTACCTTGGTGATGAGATCAACAGCTTCAGGGCTGAAAGTCTCTGGCAGAGTAAGCTGTCCCCTCACAATCTTTGCGAAAGTGTCAAGCTCACTTTCTCTCCATGACCCAAATGGCATTTCACCTTGTAGCATGAAATAGATCAGGACTCCCAATGCCCACCTGCACAGTTTCCACTAACAAGTTTGAGGCCCTGCAAACAGTTTTGAGAGAGGGAGAGAGAGCAAAACCATGAACTGCATGTACGAATTGCAGATAAATTGCCGAAATCTCGAAGAATCTCTCTATAGCACAGATAATACGCAACTCTGTGTTCTCTAACTAATAGATATCCAGGAACCAACTTGATTCCATGGATGATAATTAATTATTTTTTATACTGATTAATTAGTAGTTCATTTGAGAAACTTCCTATATTAGTATTGATTATTAAAATATAAAATATATAGAGACATATTTTAATAATATTCTCATATATGACATGAATTGTCTCTCTCACTGGAGTACAAGTTAGTAATGAACTTTTAAGGAATATTAGGATTAGATATTCCTTTATTGACATGAGATATGTCATGCAGCAATGTTGTTAGAAATATTATCAAAAAGGATATGCTCCATCTTTTTTTTAGGTCAGAAAAGTTATTGACTTGTCATAAGTTCCTAAATGGCAAAATTTTAGTAATTATTAATTCTATTAATTAATTAATTCAGTGTCTATTACAATCAATAATTATTAGAGAAAAGATTGCTATTTTGGGACATCATAACTGATACATGGAAAAACCCGAGTCAGTTTGACAAAGGCAACAGTAAATTAGTATCTAATAGTAAGGACAACGGAATTCAACATCAATTGGCAAAAAGGTAAATAAGGTAAAATTAGAGGAAAAATGAGAAGTTGGACAATTTGTATAGGGAGGAATTTGATTTGATCCACAAAAGAATGCAGGGGAAGTTCATGATAATAGCCCAGAGCGTAATATAGGCACATTTTGAGGCATATGTACAGAAGAGTTTCATTTGTCACACGTCAGCAGGAGAGGAATATAATTCAGTCTCAATGTCCCATCACCAAGAATGGTGGTGATGACATTGATGAGTTGAGGCTTTTGTTTATGAAAAGTGCATGCTAAAACATTGGGGAGGGCAACACAACATTTTTTATGGTTAAGATGGTCAAGTAATTATGTTTTGGGAAGGTCTATATCAGATAGGAATAGTTTAAATAGAGGTGTGACTTGTATCATTGTATTTTGATCAGTCATATCATTCTCTACATAGCTAAGCTAGACAAGGGGCAGCCATGGCCTTTTAATCAAGATGAAAATTTCCAATCTTAAGCTGCTTAGTAACTCAATCGGATTTAAAAAGAGTTTCTATATTTTTGGTATGTTACACTGGTATATTATTCAAGTATCAAGAATACATGTCAGTACGCCTCTTAAATTTCAACTTAAAGTCTTCTTGTTATAATTGAGTGATTAACAAAATTCTTTATATAAGTTTTTCAAAGAGCTTTCATGTGCGTAAACATTTTCTTCAAAACATTTCTTAACATTCTTATCTGAAAATTATACATACATATCCTACCATTGTTCTCCATTTTACAGATCTAATTTTTATCATAAAGCAGTATTAGTGACCCATAAATAAATACATAACCACAGCCTTGGAAAATATTGGTTAGACTTTCTTGAGCTCTCACTCGCAACAGCTACTACTAGATTTTCTTCCTCTAAAAAAAGAAATAAAAAACTGGCTGCTCTTTTTTTATTTTTTTATTGATAATATTGTTACTTTTAACGCCACTATGAAATATAATAATATTCATAATTTCAGGATAAACCCCTCAGAGGTATACATGTGGCATTTTACCAGTCAGCAGGAAGACCGTGGCCTTTTCCCTGGATTATCTCAGGTGATAAAGAGTCTGCCATTCCACATATTGTAAATGTTCTTTCACCGCATAACTCCTTCCCAAATCTAAAGTCCACTAGCTACGAAACAGTAAGACAATAAAAATTATTAAGCATAAAACCATTTGATTTGCCCTTTGCCGCTGGTAAAAAAAAGGAAAAATTCATGTTAATTTACATAATGCAAGCACAGAAACGAAAGAGTACAGCAAAAATATATATATATATATATATATTATGTCACCAACCTGTATATGTCCTGTCTGATCGAACATTAGGACATCTGGAGACACACCTCTGTATAGAACACCATTCTGGAATTCAAATAAAACAGGATAAGAGCAGAAATTAAGAAACCAATAAGAATGTGCAAAAGATTCAGGACTTAATTAAAAGATCAAACATAGGCATCAAACCTTGTGCAAATCTTCTAAGGCAGAAACAACAGAGGCAGCACAAAACCGTGCAGATGGTTCATCAAGTGGCAAATGAAGTATTGAAGCAACTGGGCAAGCAAGGCTTGTATTTAGCAGTATCCCAGCATGTGTTTGATCAGCACAGGTGCATAGAACTTGTGGCACACTGGCCGAAGGGCTTAAACTCTTCATCAGTTTCTTCTCTTTTAAAACTTGTGCTTCCTTCCCAAGCCTTTTGATATTCTGCTTTGAAAACCTTTTCAAGCTAAGAAAATTTTCTAATAGCAGAAAAAGACAAAAAAGCATCATATCAGTACTCCTTTTTTTTTTTTTTGTAAAAAAAAAGTTACATAAACATCATACCAGTACTTGAATTATGCATGCAATGAAGAATGTATTGTCTCATAAATATTATACAGCAGCTCATATCGATCAGCAGATTTCCATGCAAGTATAAACTATCAACCTAAAAAGCCAGCTAAATCAAAGCATGTGTCTTTGGGAATATAAACTATCATTATATAGCATTAAAACCAACCTGAGTCTCTCAGAAGTACAAGCCCGACCTCACTGCAGTCAGTGGAATAGAAACACTTTCTCCACTCCTAGACAGGCATACGAGTAATAAAGTCAGGTGTCAGTCTCTTCGCTAAAGTTCATTGTCATATACATTGAGGAAGACTCAGTAATCCTTACCAAATCAGAGAGCTTGATTTTTGCAAGAGTTGAAGGATCAATACTTTTGATAGATTTCTCCAGAGAACTGAGAGAATAGTCCCTTGACCTAGATAATATTAATTTGTAGAATCAGGGTTCTGTTTTTCCGGTTGCAGCTATTAAACTTAAGTAAAACTAAAATAATGCCAGCATTTTTCATTCCTAGTTCCAAAGTTGCGCATTTGCCAACACTCATTGTAATTTTTTTTTTTTCCGAGGCAAGAAACACACACACACACCCACTTTTTGCCAACACTCATTGTTGGATGTAAAGATTCCCTACATAAGATTGGTACATACTTGTGATCATCCTGCGAAAGCTTTGCCAAAGGACCAACAACCGAGTCAAACTTTTCCTTCGTTAGAACAGCACATACCACATCGCCAACAGCAACTGCATTTAACGAGCTAATATGCTCACCAAGAAGTCTCCACTCTCCAAAATAGCTTCCTTCAGCCTTCTCCACTGAGAGCTCTTTGTTGTTCTGCATATCATCATCCTGCTTTTCACTGTCAGGTACAAGGCTGCAGACATTATGACTATTAACTACTTCTTCATTGAAAGTAATTCTAACTTGACCCTTCTGGATAATGTACAACCCCATGAGAGTCTCATTCTGAAAACACAACAGAGCAATGTAAGAAAAGGAATTCATAATAAATGAAGTATTTTCTTTGTAAAGAGCAATTTTACCTGTTCAATTATTGTCTGCCCATCAGAAAAAGAAACTTCAGAAAGAGAATCTGCAATGTGACTCAGCTGTAAGATTGTTAACCTTGACAGAAGATCCACCGACCGAAGCACCTTCAGTGATGACAAATTTGAAAACTCCGACATAAGAATTCCACGAAAATCTTCTCTTTTCAAGGCCCAAAGAGTTCCATTTGTCACAGCGCGAACAGAAGCCTGGAGTGGTTTATTATACCTGAATGCATTGCATCCACAGAAACCATGAACAGTAAGAACAATACTACCATGGCTAATAAGAAATACTGATACTAAATGTGGTGTTATGTACATGCTGCACACGTGGCATGTCCCAGGAGTCTAATAAGTCGAAACAATAACTGTCAATTCAGTATTACAATCAAACACCAACCACGTTTGCACCATCAAAACCTCAAAGGGCAACCCTCGAGTCCAAAACCTTGACACTCTCTCGGATCCACCAAAGCCTCGAGGAATAACCTTGAGTCCAAAACCCTTACACACTCTCCTATGTCCACCAAAGCCCCAAGAGGCAACCCTCGAGTAAAAAACCTAGAGACACTGTCTAAGGTTCACCAAAACCTCAAGAGGCAACCCTCGACTCCAAAACCCTGAGACACTCTTAGATTCGTCAAAACTTCAAGGGGCAACCCTCGAGTCCAAAAGCCTAAGACTTTCTCTCAGGGCCATTAGAACCTCGAGGTATAGCCAATTCTCCCCTCAAGGATAACTAACTGTTAAGGACAAAAGGTATGAAACAACAATACATGGAATACTTAGGATCTTGGAATGGAGGATGAGAGACCAATCAATGCTGACTGCATTAAATGCTCAATCCCCGCCATCTAATGCACTCATACGAATCCTGATGAAAAAAGAACAATTTGATCGAGCAGCCCTGCACGAGGATAGCTAAAGCAATGATGGCTTAAATTCCTGAACCACTGAGGAATACCCGACAAAGGTTCAAACCTTTGGGTAAAGACTGGGTCCTCGGATGTTATAATTAATGTCAGCCTGGAGCATTAAAGGAGGAGGCCAAGAACTCTAAGAAAATACCTAAACTTACAGACACTTAAATCCCTGCCACGGCACATTTTCCTGTCTTCCCCATTAATCCCTTGGGTCTGTCTGTCTCTTCCCCTCCTTCAACTCATCCTTAAGGGCCCTTCATAATTGTGTGTGATATAACTCATTGATTGATATATATATATATATATATATATATATATATATAGATATATATATATATAATGTTTATTACTAGCTACATTAAATAACCCACGCTAAATCGGTTCTTTTTATGTCAATCAAATGCACCATGTTTCTCAGAAAATTGAATTTTAAATCTACGTATATTACCAAAGTAACAGTTACAACTGTGAACACGCTATATAAAGTTATGCTCGGTAAGTCTTTGCAAATATGTTTTAGAATTCAGATTATTCTGAACCTTTTGGACATATTTTCTAGCTCTCAATAAGGAAAACTTAAAGTCAACTTGTTGAAACTTGAGAAGAATCAATCTTACATCGTCAAGAGAATGTGATTTTGAATTTTTAGTTTAGAATGGGGAGAATTACAATAGTAGAAAGATATTTCTTACATTAATGCCAGCTCCCCAAACGATGATAATTTTTCGGCCGTGTATCGTTGTAAAACCCTGGGCACCTCTCCATTCTTTTCCTCCTGCTATTCATAGTATCTTGTTAACATCAAATCTGAAGAACCTTATTAGAATAACTTTGAATGTTTAAACTGAAAAACTCTTGATCCAGAATCCAAATGACAATCCAAAAGAAATAAGAAGATAATTATCGTGTAACGAAGTATAGCTGCGAATGGAATTTGTGTAACATTTCAGACTTATGGATCTATTAAAAGCAGCTGAAGCCTTCAGGTAGGTTGGTAAATATAAAAGTTGAATAAAACAACAAAAATGGTAACCTGTGTTGCGAAGACCTCAAATTCTCCACTGCCAACAACATAAAAACAGTCACCCTCACCACCCTGCAAAATAAGGATATTCATTATTATGACTTCAAACTCCACTTAAATTTTATTTCAAGAAGAAAATTTTCCTCAGTCTCTTGTATTTGAAACCTGCACACATTTTTAGCTGGATTACAGCAGAGTAAATGAATAACTTCAGATTGAATCACACCTGTGTGCTCCAAGTTTATTCACAAGAAAATAGAAATTTTCACAGGAAAAATACCATTCCATCTGCAGCTTCCAGTTTCGAATATGAGTTTGTTATGCAGAGGATTACAATATGCAAATGCTTCATGCATAAAAGTTCCCACTACCAATCATACACGAAGAGTGCACATACAGCTTTCTAATCCCCAGTAATCATAACTCACATATAAATACTTGTCTTAATCACAAATTTCAGACTGCTGGACCAAGCAATAAGACTGTAATTGGATTATTTTCCTTCAACTGCTTAAACGTTATCACAGCCACAACACTTGGAATTGATATACATTATTGATATTTCTTTATCAGGTAACCTGATTGGCATGTCAGCATCTTATGCAGGGGCGGAGTTAGGGTTGGGATGGGCCCCCAAAATTTTTTGAATTTTTATTAGTACCCCTACATAACAATTAATTAGTAAATATTGTCCATAAAATACATTAAAATTTTCGAAGGCCCCCCGAAAAATTTTCAAACCACTTATATATTGACCCAAAATACAGAGTTTGAAAATCGGCCTCAAAATCGAGAGTTTGAAAATGTGACGACCTTTGTGGGTGGGTGCGAGACACTGGACGAACTACCACCACACTGGCAGACTACAGGGTGTCATGATTCCACATCGCCTGGAGAAGATGAATTGCTATATATAAGGTTCAACGCCTTTCTATGACAACGCGTTTTAAAGCCGTGATGACCATGAACCTATCAGAACTCCAAAGTTAAGCGTGCTTACTCTGGAGTAGTACCAGGATGGGTGACGTCTTGGGAAGTCATAGGGGAGCCAAAAGCGGACAATATTGTACCTGGGTAGGGTGAGGTTTGTTACAAATGGTATCAGAGCCGGAGCCCAACCGAAAGTGTGGCCAACGAGGATGTTGGGCCCCCACCGAGTGTAATTGTGACGACCTTTGTGGGCGGATGCGAGACATTGGACGAGCTACCACACTAGCAAACTACAAGGTTTCATAATCCCACATCACCTGGGGAAGGTGAAGACTGAAGTGCTATATATAAGGTTCAACACCCTTCCATGACACAACGCGTTTTAAAATTGTGATGGTAAGCGTGCTTACTCTGGAGTAGTACCAAGATGGGTGACCTCCTAGGAAGTCTCTGGTCCAAGGGAGTCAAAAGCGGACAATATTGTGTCCGAGTAGGGTGAGGTTATTACAGAAAATAAATTTAGTTTGCGTCTCCGTAAAATTTAAGAAATTTTCAACTAGGAACCTTTTAACTATATTTTTGAAAGCTCAAATATTGTGAAACGAAAATTTAAGTTCATTATTATTAGTCATTGCCGTAACACATTATTGTTTTAATTAAACATACGCAAGTACAGTATCTATAATATTAATTCAATAGAGAAACAAAAGGAGAAAAATCACTAATGTTCTCTTTTGTTTAATAAAAATGCATGAAGCATTTCTTTTCAAAACATTTTTGTATAAAATGGTGTTTACAAGAAAAATATCTAGAATTCAATCTTTATTGGCGAGCCCTAGGAATATTGGGAAGGAAGATAAACTAAAGTATTGTGAGAATGTCAATGACAACAATAATATCATATATGCTAATATGACAAATTCTATAACTATTTGAATAAGTTACTAAACTGATAGTCTTGTTTAATTTAAACTTGAGAGATTTTGGTTCATTAAAGAATTATAAAGATCATTTTTTCTAGGTATATCTTTTCCAAGTGGAATCAAAGTATCCAATTTTTTTCTTCCAAAAATTAGAATTTTGAAAGACAGAAACAATTGATAATGGAAAATTGATTCTATTTTTAATTATAACTTATCGTTTCTTTCTTTATTTTTCTTTCTCATATTAGTTTTCCATCTTTATTAAGTTGTATTTTTCTCATTTTTGGATTTTCTCAAAGTATATGTACCACGACTAATACTTAAACAAAATTATATTATAATTGATTTATAAAAATTTTTAACTTTAGATACATAGTTCAAATTCGGCCCCTCAAACCTAAAATTTCTAGCTCCGCAACTGATCTTATGATTTGTAATGACTCACATGACCATTATCTCGTCCTTCAATTTCAAATCAAAGTAACTTCCATCATTTAAATCTGTAATTGCCTTTGCCAAATCAGTAAAGATATGAAGTCCTTGTAATGAGGATTTCCTTAACGTCCACACTATGGGTGACAATGTTGAAAAAATGAAAAGTAAAATCTATAAATAACCAACCTGTTTCACCACAATGTCTCCTGGTTGAACCTCAACTCTTTGCATGCAATCCAACAAGACATGACACTGAGAATCAGTTAGTTTTCTGAAAAGAAAATGATCATGCAATGCCCGCTCAATGTGTGCCTGTAACAATAAAGGTTCAGAGTAAGGAACCACTACAAAAAAGGGAGAAAAATAAAACAAAATCTCTTTAGTAAATTTGTGCTTAACACAAGGCAATAAATTGTAGGGAAAAAAAAAAAAATTTACTTCCTCTTCCCAGGTCTTCCTGTGGCCCGAAGATGGAGCAACCCAGATTTGCCCTTTCTCTAAAGAACTCTCGATGGCACGAAGACGAGCCCGTGATAAATCATGCCTTGCACGTTGGTTCCTAGAATTCCAGCTTATGGTAGAAGGAGACTCTGATCCTGTCACCTCTACAACTTGAGGGAGAGGGGGTCTTAAAAGTGCACCAGGACTTGTTGATTGATCAACAGTGGTCTGGCACAAAGAAAAAATTGTCAATTAAACTATCAAAAAATCAAAAAGAGTGTGAAAGCACGAAGCAGAATAAGTAAGAATGTCAAGTCTAATAGATTGTGGATAACAAGTACTCTTACATCAGTTAGCCCATTAATATGCACAACTATTACAGTAATGTCATCTGTACGAGTTTCATATTGTAGCCAAAGTCGATAAGATTCCGCAACAATTGCAGCGCAAGCATCACGAGGATCCTTATGTTTTGCAACCTGTGAATAAGTAGCAGAATTAGCAACTGATGATTAGCAGAGAAGAATAAAGAACACATGCGTTTGGCAGTAACGTTTCCTCTAGTTGAGGATGCAAGGAATGGAGAAATTTGGTGAGTAAATAAATGAATTCTCCAAAAGCAGAATCAACCAAACTCTCTACTAATATGAAATTAGGTAATTGGGAACCAATGGAAATTTTTTTCTTCTATTTGTGAGCACGATTTATGAGCTAAACACAGCATCAAAGTTAATGATATTATCCTAAAATGCACTGTTGACGTGGAAGCTTACCTGGCACCATCTCCCTTATATACACCTTGACCACCAGTCGAGCAGGAGGACTGTAGAAGGGCTAACCCTGACAACCCCCTTCCTCATTCTGGTCACTTCTTCATTATTTAACAGTTATTTATGATGAAGTGACTAATGTTCAATTGAATGACACCCTCTGCAGGGTTCTCCTGCTGGCTGTAGGATCAGAAATTTATTATAACTCATTTCAAGTGAAGAGTTGCTCACAAGCCACGAGCACCTCATGGAACCTTCCCCATATGTCCCCTCCCCTCCCCTCCCCTCCCCCTCCCCCCACCCCACCAAAAGCTTTCCTCTTCTCCTCATATAAGCTTTACTGCGGCATAAGACATGGCAAGACCTCTATCGTCGTATACACCTTGTAGCGAATACTGCTTCTCCTTTAATAAGTCCTGCACCTGCTAGGCTGCTGCCTTCACTACAGGCCCTCTAAAAGATAATCACGACAATCTCCTCTCTAAAGATGAGTCTTGTTGATGACAGAATACCTTGACGCACCTCGTGTACAACTAAGTTAAGAGTAAGACTTAAAAGCTACAGGTCTGGTGCTTGGCAAAACGATTATGAACCCACTTGGACCCATTGGCTTCTGGTAGCAGTTGTGAGGCATAGGTCAAGAGTTCGATCTGGTACCGTAACAGGATTATGGCCCACTGTGGGCTCATGTGTGCCGTGGGATCGTAACAAGTATTTGACTAGGTGATTGAAAACACCAAGGGCCTGCTGAGGGAGTCCCTCCTTAAGACCTCTAGTTACCTCAACCTGATTCTAGAGGAGACAAGATCACTGATTCCCGAAATGACATGTTCCCAATATGACATCAGTACCAATTTTTGTACCATTTTACTGCATTTAGGCTCCATTTGTTTGAGCGTAAAATATTTTCTGTGTTTTCCGGTGTTTGGTAGTCCCAAATTCAAAAAAAATCTTTTACAAAGGAAAATAATTTTCCAAAACTTAACCAAAACAACTTACCAATTAATCATCCGAAAGTCGTTTTCCGAGCCTATCAATTTCACTCTTGATCTCCTCAACAAAGCATATGGCATCGAAAACGTCAATCAAGTACATGGAAGAGTTACATAGTGGACCAAAAGCAGTCTAGAGAGAGAGTTTAGAGAGAGAAAGAGGGTGTCTAGATAAAGAAAGAGAGGAGCCCTTTAATAAAGAGAGTTTTTAGAGAGAGAAAGAGAGGAACCCTTTTACATAAGCTATAGTGACCAGAAGCAAAACAACTGTTAAGAGAAGAGCCAATAAACCCAATACTTATTGTGGGGTGAGAGGCACGAGGCCAATCTCTTCTTTAACAACAATCATACAATGTCCTATTTTTTGTTTCTTCAATTGGCTTTTATTATTATATTTTTTTTGTCATCTTTATTGGCTTAGTGATTGACATGTAGTGGTACTTTCTAAAACCTTTAAAAGTGATACGCAAAGTGGAGGAAAAAAAAAAAAACTCACTGTTGCATTCGATGATAGAGAGACATGTTTTGGTTTCCTGATCATTTTTTTTCAAAAATCAATTGATTATTTTTTTTATATTTATTGTCAAATAATAATTATTATTGGTATAAAAATAATTGGACCAATTGATTGTAAGAGAAAAATTGAATAATCAATGACTCAAATAAGAATTTTAATTTTAATTCAAAAATACTTTTAGAAATCAGACACCAAAAATATTTTCAAAACCTTTGTCAAACACTGGAAAATAAAAAATAAATATAACATTCTTCATGAAAAAGTGCTACATAAAAAACATTTTACAAGGAAAATATTTTACGCTCAAACAAATGGAGCCTTAATGATCATCATGCTTCATTAAATAGCTTTATATCGCATTGGACCATAATACCTCACCTCTACAATAATTATAATTGTAGCCATACCTATTCTACCATGTCTCGAGCTAGCAACCAAGGATCCACAATGTTATTCCATCGAGCTGTAGAAAGGTCAGATGTCACTATTCATCCCCTCTTCATCCATCAACTTGGGCATTGGTTTACCTTCACAATCAAAAATAGGTCTTGACTGAGATTTAAGAGGGTAGACGACCCCTGCCTAACAACACTTACTCTTCTTAAAAGAAACCTAAAACCAATAAAGCTTTTGAACCTTGAAACCATCACCTTGGACCCACCTTGCGGAGTCGCGGCTCTCTCTCTCTCTCTCTCTATATCTGCAGCCTTAGCTTCCGCCTAGAATTGTGAACATATCATATGTAATACCACTGTTAACAACCATCTACTCTAAAAAGCTTAAGCTATTAGAGAGATTGTAACTTTAATAGTTAAATCCTCTAACACGCCCCCTCACGTGTACCCTTCTTTTGATCCACCATGTGTTTCAATTTTAATTATTAGGGCGACGGTGAGGCTTGACAAGCATTAGAACACAGGTACAAACATGAAAGCAGCCACTTCATGCAAAATAACACCAAATGTTAGATTTGTCCCCATTCCTTTTTTTCACAAGAAGATGTGGCCCCATTCTTCCCTCCCCAACACCGTGCAGGTAGGTCACATATTGGGTAATGTCCCCAATAATTTATATACATCATGCGTGCATTCACACACCTCCTTTTGTGTTTCCAAATGAATTTTTTTATTTACAAATATATATATATATATATATATGACAGCATATTATAGTCGGCCAAAATAAATAGGGTCTGGTTTGTGCAAGTGGAGGCCATATAGCTTTTTGTACAGCGCGTGAAAAACCTAGACTCAAAGCCTGGACACTATCAATGAGAATTGACTTCATTTTTCAGAGACCGGCTAAGTATATAACATAACACATCCTTTGGACCACCATCTTTGTCTTAAAATTCATAAGTCAAGCCATAAAAAGTTATCAAGATGTGCAAAAATTTTGCTTGTTTGGGACCAAAATGGTATGAACAAAAGCAGATAAAAACTCATTTATTAAAAATAATTTGAAGAAAGTTTTGACCATAATCTGGATACTTTGGCTGATATCAAACAATTTTAGATTTTTAAAATTTAAAAGAATATTATTTTTTCCATAGATGCTGCTGTTAAAAAGAAAATGACCCACATAAAATGATTCCCAACTCAACCATGTGCATGCAAAGAAAAATAATCCTAAAATCTTATTCTTTACATGCACGTGACTCTCTAATATAAAACAGAAACCCACGATTAAATGGTTCATGACCCAAGTATGTGCAAAGCGAAAAATAATAATAAAAAGAACTAAAACATTGTCCTTGTCCGTTGGACATAAGTATTTGATGTGAAATCATTAGACTTGCAGCCATCATCTGGTGATCACACAACACTCCAGTAGCGTTTATCCACATCACTCATTCTATTTCGTATTTTATAAGCAAACCTCATAATCTTGCTCTTCAATCAATTGGTCTATTGAAGCGGAGAAAATAAGCGTAAATCATACTTCGACTTTTACTAAAAAAACATTCTACATAATATAATTTAATCCCACTAAAGACTTATCCAGAACTTACCACAAAAAGGCTTCATCCATTACATTTAATGTGGAGTACATGGATACTGTAGTTTAACATTGCATTCTATCTAGGGTTGTGGTTTCATTAATGCATCAACATGTCTTTTCTCACTGTATGTGCTTGTGTTCTTTCTAATCATCACCTCGTCCTCACACCACCTTAAATTTAAACCATGTATTTTTCATCCTGATTACTGATCTTTCATTTTGAGCCCAATTACTGATACCTCCAACTTCCTGCAGACGAACTTATTCCTATTTCAGACGTTTTAAAAAAGATTTCTAAGTTTAGATTTTAAGTAATGATAACACTCACTTTAATGGAAACGATCATATTATTTAATATTTGATGCTGGTTGTTGAATTTATAATCCCAAGTCAGGAGCCGTGGCAAAACACCCAATTCCCAGGACAAGAAACATGACTCAAAGAAAGCCTAAGCAGTTCTTTTAATATCTTGTACTGTAGAGTTGATGTTAATGTGTGGCCATATCAAAACTCAAACTATGCACCATAAACGAGTATCAGTATACAATCTTAGGCATTCGTCAAGCTAAAAATCACCTGAACCATCAGTTTCCAATTGCAAATGGTTTAGTAACTTAAATTCCACATAGATTATGCATTTAACCTAAAACGAGATAAAAGAAGTTTTGCTCACCATGTCAATCACCATTTGGCTAGAGAGGAACTCGAACACCCCATCACTGGCAAGCACAAAGAAAGGATGACCTGGCGAGAGCTCCAAAACAACAATTTCAGGGTTTGCAACAACACCAATTGTCTCAGCAACAGAGTCACCTATACTTCTTGTAAAAGCCGTACCAGGATACATCCCATTTTGTACCCATAGTCTAGGAGGATCACCATCATCACCTTCTTCAGTGCCCCAACACTGTACATCTGGGTTCTTTAGCCCTTCAATCTGGTCTAAAGTGAGAACTCTTGCTCCACATCGTTTAACACGTTCAAGTTCATCAGATCGAAATGGAGTTTGATCTATTGATAAGTCAACAGCCACAATATCCTTTCCTCTCCTCTCAGCTATAACAGCCCTAGAATCACCAGAATTAGCAATATAGAGCGTTCGACCCCGAACCAATATCGTAATTGAAGTTGTTCCACTCATGCTATCATCCAAAGTATCAGCATGCAACTGCGAATTTGTAGTCAAGAAAGCAGCATGACATGCCTCGACAGCATCCATATGAAATCGACTATTTCGAAGCAGATTTTCACACAACTTCCGCTTGACAAACTGTGAGCATTGCGCCCCGAATTCTCCATGCCCATCAAAGACCCCGAAAAAATGGTCATCAGGGTTTGTCCCAAATGGAGTGTGAATGCAAAAACTATCTTGGTTAGCTTTATCAAGGGCATCAGGGTAATACCCTCTCTGAGATAGGAACGAGTATCGCAATTCGTAGTTCCCAGAAGGAACCTTAATGGTTCTCGACCCATCAGGAGGTAGAAACTGTCCTGAAACCCTAGAAAGTCTAGTAATACCCACTTCAGAATCCCTAGTTCCGCTTAGTGCATTCAATTGATCTCTAATTTCCCCTTCTTCCCCATCTGAAGAAGCAGGTGAGAAAACACCAATCTCAGCTTCTCTTGCATTTTCATTTCCTTTAAACCTGTCTCTAGGTGTACAAACATCACCAATACAGGCCCTTGAATAAACACAACCCATTACCAGGACGAGCAAAGTGAATTTAGCCCAGATAACAGAACAGCCAAAAGCTTCATAAGGTTCAGCGTCAACAATTGGTTGAATCTGTGAACAGCACAATCCACAAAACCCGATCACGTACTCTGCTTCAATAATAACAACGCTGCTTCAATAATAATAACCCCAGTCCAAGAATTCCACCAAAAATTACAAAAATGGTTCCCATTATGGGGAATTTTCTAAATTTCAAATTCAAGAGAATCACACCGAATTTGAAAAAAATGCCAGAGGAACTCGTCAGATTCCAATAAAACCTCATCTGGTCACATCACCAAGTAAACTTCAACTTTCAAGAACTACTTCTACAAGTTAGACAAAACCAGCCAAGCCCAGAATTGGAATTCAAGAAAATCAACATTACGACCCAAAAAAAAAAAAAGATTTGAACTAATACATTTGCAATTACATTCTAATACTTCCAGAAAGCATAGTAGTTAAAAGAAACACACACATATAAGAACAACCCACAACTAAACATTCTATACAAGCAATGATTCGCAAGAAAGATGATGAAGATGTTGAGAGCGTACTTGGGGTTGTGGATCTGGAGACTACTAATGGAATTACCCGAAAGTAAGAAACGACATAGACCTTGCCCAGTTGCAGATATATAAAGTGGTTTACTCGGAATGCATTCAGTGGCGTCGTCTTCTTCGGCTACTGGGTGGCACTGAGAGTGACCGCCGGTGACTGATCGGAGTAAAGGAAGAGGGGTGGTGATGTGGTGAGCCGAGCGCGTAGTGTAGAGATAGAGGAAAGAGACGCGTTGGTCTGTGTTAGGTGATTTGTAGGCGTAAATTAAAGGCTTCAGGGGGGAAGATGTGTCAGTGCATGTGTGGAAGAAAGGGAGGGCCTCAGCCTTTTTGTGGCGACGACATTCCCCAACGCGCCCTATTTCCCACGCGCTTCCGTTCACAAGTTGTATACTCTTTATATATAGAGTTGCGTAACTAAGTGAAGTAACTCGTGTAACTTACAAATCCAACTGCAGTTGCATACTTCTTGAGTTTTGATAAGTTTGGCTTGGACTTGTTTGAAGATTTTAAAACTTGAAAGTTTAATATGGAGCTAAAAAATTTATATGGGGACAAATTAGTAATAAAAAATTAAATTTTAAAAATAAATTAAAATAATTGTAACAAAATCTCTTTTTATCATTAAATGATTAAATTATAGGAGAAGAAAATTTAAAAAAAAACAATAACTCTTTTAACAAGCCAACTTACTACTTTTTATATTTATATAATAAGCTAGTGATATCATTTCATTAATACAGTAGGCATAATTAACATTTCTCGCTTTTTTACTTTTAGTCTTTGAAGGTGTTGTGTTAATCCGATTATGCAAATAGATATAGAAATCATTTTTTTTTATTTAGAAACCCCATTATGTCATCACAAGCTGGCTTTAATAATATTTTCTAACTGTCCAACTTTTTTGCTTTAGTCATGGAACTTAATTGGTTATTTGATCAAATCTACGCTCTAATTTAATAAAATCACCAACTATAGTCTATAATAGCTAAAAAACGAAAGAAAACATCTAATATATTCACTGCCTGGACTGTATTTATGACCCAATATGAGGAAGTTCAATTAAACTGTGAAAATACTATGCATATCCAACTGATTAAAATTGAAATTAAAATGGTCCATTACTTTTGATTTCTACCACATGTTTTTATCTTCTGTAATGCTCTAAACTTCTTCTGAGATTGGCTCAAGTTTTACTCGTATTTACCGTGCCCCTCCTAGCAAAGTTGAAACTTATCCAATGAAAGTGATATGTTCCTTTTTCCAAAACAAACGCGCCATAGGCTCTCTCTCTCACACACACGCGCACACATGTATATATCCCTAATACTAATCTCTCTCACACACACACAATCATTCTTTACATTTTTTATCCGCTACACCTTCCATGAATGTACAGATGTATACCCAACGCGAAAGGAACCACTTTGAATTGAAAATGCCACCCACACTCAGCCATTATAACATAACTCAGAAGTGGACCTCACTTCAAAAAAAAAAATTAATAATTAATGGTTTTTTTCTTTTTCTTTTTTTTCTTTTTTTTCTTTTTTTTTTTTTTTTTTTTGTCATTCAAGGCACTAAGCCCAAAAGCCAATATAATAATATAGAGGCATAAAGTCAAATCAGAAAAGACATACAAATCTTGAAGTAAAGCAAATAAATAAAGAACAGGTTCCAGATTTTGTGGAGGAAACAGAGTCCAATACTCTGCAAACGGAACCACCATGGAAGAGCGCAGCAAACTAGAGAGACCGAAAGATCTGGCCATCAGCACGGCAATCGTTCCAAAGTTACAACTACAATGCGCTCTGACACACAAGAAACCCCGCACAAAATCAAATCAAGTGGAAAAAGATTAAATCATGACAAGGAAAACCAAAACCGACCTAAACCAGATATCTAATCGGAGGAAACAACAGATCCACCCATGTCATCCGAAAACAAATCGAACATGAACAGCTCTAGCCCAAAAAAAAAAAAAAAAAAACGGCATAAAAAAAACATCCACGGAGCGTACTTATTAAAAAACGCAGAGTTTATTGCAACTGTGGGAGACGGCCATCATCTCCCCACTCCCATGGAAAGGAGCAGGGAGGCAGAGTGATAAAGAAGACGAAGGGGTTAAAGAGATATGGGGCTCCAATTAATTATTTAAATCGTGCATTAACCACAATGAAGCATGACCCAGTTATTTACTTATTTATCTTTTAATCATGCGTTATTTATATGTAGTCACTAGTCACATGGGAGAGTGAGTTTAATAAAAAGCTTAAGCAGTTGTGCATGGCTTTAAGCCTAAGTTAAGATAAATATGCAAATCAAGCCATTGTGCATTAAATTAAATAATTAAAATAAAAAATTAATCAACAATGATGAGATCATATTTTGTAGAGAGTAAATTTTCTTGTATTCGAAACTTACATTTTAAATATCATCATATTGAGTATAAACTTAATATTTTGTAGAGAGTGAATTTTCTTGTATTCGAAACTTACATTTTAAATATCAAAGGTCTTGTAGCCTAATAATATCTCATATATTTTTCAAAGTGAATGATGAGAGTTCAAGTCTACAAAGAAACAAAATGAGTGTATGTTTCTTGCTGATAAATAAAAAAATAAAACCTTCATTTTAAAGATTGTAGTCCCATGAGCAATAATTGTGTTTTTATACATGGTTGAATGAAACTTTTATAAGATTATGCACATAATTAATTTTTATTGCAACAAAAATGACAAGTAATATAAGTTTAAGGGTTTAATTCATTTAGACCCCCTGTGATTTGTCAATATTTCAAGGAGGCCCTCCACATTTGCAAATCTTCAATTAGGGCCTTTTACTTTTTATGGTTCGCATTAATTTCCCCCCTTATGTAAAGGTTAAACAAGGTCAAAGACCTTTTTTGCTGATGTCATGAATAAATTTACTGAAAATGCCCAATTTACCCTTAAAATAAGTAAAAAGACATTTACAACCTTCACTTAACAGTGATAGCTTTGGTGAAACCCACTCCAGTTCCAGAGAACTCTAAGTTTTGGTGAAACCCATATCAGTCCGACGAGCTCCAAGGTTTGGTGAAACCCATATCAGTCCGATGATCCTACCTAGTGATAGCTGCAACAGTTCCGACACCATAGTAGACCGCCAATAACTTCTTATTCAACTACCCAACTTCAGAAAAACAGCATGCTACAATTCAGACCGTGAGTTTCATTAATATATCATCACCGATGTATCAAGACCCAATGGAAAAACTTCAGTGACTTCCACCAAAAAAGCATCGGCGAATAATATAGAGAGCGCGTTTTAAGCTTGGTTTTGTGTACTGAATAGTCTGAATGTTAACATGATTGAAGACCCAACATTGAAGATTTGAAAGAAAGCCAATTGAGCTTAGTTACAGTTTCGATAAACTTCAAAACGATGAGTTTCAAAGAGCTCGAAACTGCACAACAGTAAGTCGCTTATCTTATTCTTCTTCACAACCATCTTCTACTTCCTTGTTAGGGATGGCAATTTGACCCGCCCCCGCGGTTACCACCTCGCCCCACCCCGTTTTTGACGGTTTTGGGGGACCGTTTTGCTTATATGGGCGGGGATGGTTTCATGTAATAAAAACCCGAGCAGGTTTGGTGCGGGGGCAGGGGGAGGTCCCCCTGCACCGCCCGCCCCATTTAGATAGGCAAATTACTTAAATACCTTTATTTCAATAGTATATATATTTATCACTATATATTAAGTTGCAATGGTGAAGAATTGAAGATGTAGGGGAAAAAAAAGAGTAAATTTATTTCAACAATAAATAAATTATAGTTTTAAACGGGGCGGGGTGGGTACCCGCGGGGTAAAAAGTTAAACGGTTACGAGGATGGGGTGAAAAGTTCCTCCGTTTTTGCGGTTTTGGGTAGGGACGGGGGCGGGGTTTTTAAACGGTTGTGGGGACGGGGGAGAGTACACCCGCCCAAACCCACCCCCGTTGCCATCCCTATTCCTTGTTACAAGCGAAGACTGAAATAACTGGCAGCGACCAAATTGGTTACTGTTAATGTCTTCATCACCAACGTAATCGTTGGAGTAGCGTACGGTCTCTATTTATAGCAGTGACCTGCTGCTCTATTTAACGTTGCCTTCTTCTCCTTTAGGTCGCAGAAACCTGCTGCTCTAATTAAAGTCGGCAGCAACCGTGAAGGTCACTGCCTTTTTCTCCTTCACCCACGTCACCGGCGATGACCCGGAATCCATTCTTGATAGAGACCCAATGGTCGTCGTCCTTTCTCAAGCTTTTGGGTCGCTGTTAACGACCCAAGTTCCTACCGAAAGTAACTACAGCGACCTGTATTGTAATGTCCCAGATTTTTCTGGACTTTTTTTTAATTTTGAATTTATTTATTCTCTATGCCTCGTTTTTCGTACCACGCGGGCCCAGAAAGCTGTTTCAACCATTTTTTGAGTTGAGGGTTTTAGAAATACATTTCTATTAATGTTAAGTCATTTAGAGGTGACGTGATTATTTTTATAATTTTTTGAAAGTCGGAACGATTTTGGGGCTCGGGAACTTCTCTCAGTTTAGCCATTTGTATTGAAGGGCATTGTCGTCTTTTTGCACATACATACATACACCTATATCTATATATTATAGGATATATTTTGGGGATAGTGATGGCATTGCAATGAAAGGATAAAGACATGATGGTAACTTAACCATAAGTTAGTGATTCACTAAAATGTTGACACTTGGTATATTGTGGACTAAGGAAGCAAATGCAAGACAAGGCCAAGCCCTCATTCCTCCCCATTTCGGCCAATATCCTCTTTCTCTCTCTAGTTCACCTCTTTCTCTCTTTATATCTATACACATGTATGTCCTTTATGTTAAAAACTTGGATTAGAGGCATTTGGAGTGAGAATTTGCAGAAGCCATACGAGAGAAGGTGGAAGAGCTTGGAGATGACCATCTTTTGACACCCATATTGCAAGGTTTAAAGGAGATTTCGAAATCTAGGGTTGCTAAGGGCTTATGTTGGCTATCAATTTTAAGGTAGAGATTTATAATACTTCAAAGCTTTGCATTTTGTTGAATAATTTCCTCTTGATTTCTTACTTATTCTATGTTAAAGGTAAGTTATGTGATTATATGATTTTATGAAAATTGAAGATGATGATATGGGAGTATGCTTATATGGAGTAATTTAATGTCCTTTATGTGCTAAGTGCGAAACATGATGTTCCTAATGTGCTTTATGTGCTAAGTGTGAAGTATGATGTTCCTAAGCTATTAAAATGTTAGCATGTTGATGATGAAA